ACCCGTTTTTAACAAAGATCCGCCATTTTGTCGATCTCATTCATACAGACTGGAAATTTCCACACCCGATTTACGCCATTTGGAAGCGTAATCTAGTAAAAATACACGTACCTGATCTTAAGAATAATCTCAGCTAAGTTTTTCTTAAGTCATTTTCAGAATACGACTTAATCTTAAGATAAAAAAATTTCTTAGCTAAGATTTTTTTTTCAACTTATGTTTTAACTTAAGAAATAACTTAAGATCAGTTGTGAATACGGCCCCTGATTTTAAAAAATATGGAATTTATTGCAAGCGCAGCGTAGCGGAGCGCAGCAATAAGTTCTATATTTTTTAAAATATGAACTATAACTGGCTTACCGTTTGACCCACTTTCGTGGAATAAGTCACGTACGAAGTGTCGGTACTGCGTTTGATGCAATACGAGTCCCGCCCTTACTAGTATAGATTGACAGGCCAACACATGGTCAGAGTGCTACAAAGCCTTGCGGTTATATGTATTTTGCATCATTAGTCATCATGGAACAATCCTGCGATCAGATTGTGTTTGACATAATGAATGTAGCAAGAATAATATTTTTTGAACCATTTCATGTGGTCACGGTTGCTTGGATTGATACGCAGGGTTTTATATGCAGACACAAGCAACAAAAGACAATAGCTCAGGTAAATATTTTATAAAAAATTATTCTCGAATTCTCGCAATATCTAACTTCATCATTATCTGAATGAAAATACAAATTGTAACATGACCAGCGCGCAGCTTTTCCACGCCCAACTAGTATCGAATCTCAAAATAGATGACATAAATTATTCGAACATAACATGGTTTATCTGCCTTAAATGCCGTTGTAATCATTGAAAATCATATTTAAGTGATTTCTTTGATATTTTCATTTTGCAGGCCGATTTGAAAAGCTTTTGTCATCTGATGAAACAGAAATACAGTGCCCAATAAAACAACGAAAAACAACAACTGGACAGTGCACGGCTGGAGGGAGTTGGCTGAAAACCGCAACCTACAACCAGAGACTAAGCAAGAGCCTGGTTATCCTATTCCCTTTTTTAAAAACAGAGCAGTTCTGTTCATGTGCAAAAAATGGATTTTTGGTCGCAACAATTCACCTGTGAAATTGAAAGGAAAAATGGAGAATTCTATCCTCCAACAACTTTACTAAACATTGCTGCAAAGTTAAAAGGGTATCTTCGAAATAAAAAATCCATGCACGTGAACTTTGTTAAAACTGAAGATTCTTTTTTTAACTTCGCAGAATATTGGATCCACGCATGCGCGAGTTGTCTATAACGAGGGTATATGGGTCGAAGTCAACTGTTAAAAAAGTGGAGTTTTAACAAAATGTGGAAAAAAAAGTTTGTCATGTAATTATGAAAAATGGATATTCTGTATGTTTTTTTAAGATATGTGTTAGTTTCGAACTTTGAGATTTCTCAAATTGAATTACTCCATGTCTATGATTTTCAGTGATCAGCCACAAACTGTTTTCTAATGTTTGAATTATAACCATGACGGTATAGGGAATGTGCTGTTTCAATAATGTTTGTACATGTAAAAGCTTTGATTTATAAATAACCGTATGAAAAATGCTTTCTTATTTGTTTACTTTATTCGCATGCCACATTCATTGTCTAATTTAAAACTCCGCCCATATTCATAACGTCATATTTGTCAGATATCACGTCAATACCTGTTAAAATAAGTCAACTTATTTTTCACATACACCAGTCCCGGTATAGTGTATGCAATATATTTCAAATAAATTGGAGCATTTGATTGGATAAGAAAGTGGGACAAACGGTAAATAGAGGATATTTGTTTGTTTTGCATGTAAGATTGAAATATAATTTCACTGAGTGAACACCAGATGCAATATTTTCACGAGTGGCGTAGCCACGAGTGAAAATATAATAGCTGGTGTTCACGAATGAAATATATTTCAATCTTATATGTAAAACAAATAAATTTTCTTTTTATTTTATGCTTTTAAGTGATTTTAAGTAATTTTTACAGATTTTTCCGCGTAACGTCGCGCATTCTCCTTTGTGACGTCATTATATCATGACGTCACATCATCAGTTTTGAAATATAGTTCTGTTAAATTTCTCTAATTTTGTTAAATTTTTAACATGATGTATGATGGCATTGACTTTCTTTTCCTAAAGAAGCAAAATTTACGTATGACGGCATTTACTTCTGTTATTCAATTTAGTTACGATTTTCTTTTCATCCGCATTCAGATATAGTCCGGCTACAGTGAAAATTATATTTTATAAATTTCACTAGTGGTTTATCAGAATATAATCATCTGATATATTACAATAAAACACTTGAAAGCATGAAATAAAGCATAATAACATACACTTTCGGTTCTTCTATGTTCAATAGGGGAAAATGCGGGTCGTGTTAGAATATGCCTTTTGGTTGGTGTTACAACACTTTTTGAATCACGTTATTAAGCCTTTTGGTTGGCGTTACAACCACTTTTTGAATCACGTTATTAAGAGGTTAATACACGGCAGGAGAGGGCCGGAAGGTGATAATCGGCCCGCAAAATGAATAATGGACCCAAGGGCTTTAGCCCGAGGGCCATTATTCATTCAGGGCCGATTATCACCTTCCGGCCCTACTCTGACGTGTATTAATGTCTTTAATACACTTGGTAGATCTAATAGTAGCATTTTTAAAAAAGAAAAAAAACAACAACAACAAATAGAAATCTACTTTGAAGTTCTTTGGTTGAAATTCTTGTGTTCTGTACGGAGATGTTTACTGTTTGTATGTTCAAAGAAGCAAGTTTTATTTTCATATTTTTTTCGGATTGAATTTGTCGTATTATTTCTTCAAATTTCAACAGTAACAAAAATGTGTTTGTACTAAATACGATGTGCTGTCAACCTACTTTCACTTTTACAGTTAACTGTTTCATGACGTAAAATATGACGTCATTGTTTCAGTTTGTGCACGTGCACATGTTCTGCGGGCTGATAACTAGTTCTCGGCCCCGGGCCGCAAACTCATAATAGGTCACGTGACACTCATAATCAGTTGAAATCATAGGCAATTTTGTTACTATATATAGTAACAAGTGTATTAATTTGCCTTTTGGTTGGCGTTACAACCACTTTTTGAATCACGTTATTATGCCTTTTGGTTGGCGTTACAACACTTTTTGAATCACGTTATTAAGCCTTTTGGTTGGCGTTACAACCACTTTTTGAATCACGTTATTATGCCTTTTGGTTGGCGTTACAACCACTTTTTGAATCACGTTATTAAGCCTTTTGGTTGGCGTTACAACACTTTTTGAATCACGCTATTATGCCTTTTGGTTGGCGTTACAACACTTTTTGAATCACGTTATTATGCCTTTTGGTTGGCGTTACAACACTTTGTGAATCACATTATTACGCCTTTTGGTTGGTGTTACAACACTAAATGAATCAGAATCACGTAATTACGCCATTTTGGTTCGCGACCGCGTTATTAAGTAGATGATACTTGGTTGTTGTTCGCCATTATGAAATAATGGCCGAATATGTACGCCATTCGATATGTGTTACTACACCTTTTTTGGGTCCAATATTATATTTAACTGTGTTTGGTGCTATTAGGCTTTCATGGTATCTTATATTAAACTAAATGGAAAAACAGTCGTTAAGATTAATCAATCTTTGTGCCCGTTATAATATAAATATGATAGGGACATCTATCCTACTGTTCCAGGCGCCGGTAATCCAGTTACATCTCTGGCGTGGGTTCGATCCCCGGGAGATGCTTTGGTAGTTTAGCGCGGAGGAAGGTAGTCTAATACTGGTCTAGTGCTGGTGTAACTCTCCAGGAACGATGGTTTGGAAACTACCCGCCTATATGACTGAAATACTGTTGGGAAAAGGCGTAAAATCAAACAAACACACTTTGAAACATGAAATATTTCTATGACCAAATTTTCCAGTGAGTATTACAATATTATGCTGTCTATCTCTAAGGTATATAATTTATTTTTTTGACTTTAAAACAAATTTTACAACTACTGTACATGTCTTAAACAGTTACAAAGTAAGTGATTAAAGTCATGCTGGAGTATTTTGATTTTATTCACCAGTCAAGAGTAACCGATACAACCCACACCAGGGGCGGTTCCATGATAACAGGTTAGGGGCGAAAAAATTAAATAAGTACGTACACAATGGTGAAGCAGCACAGGGACATAATTAAAAGGAAAACATTTCCTCAGTTGCTCCATTCCAAACTCTACCTGATGTTTTGTCCATGGTGTATGTAACCAAGTGTTTATTTTAGTTCATACTTTAAAAAAACAAACAGCAATGTATACCTGTGATTGATTGCTACGCATGTTGCACAGAGAACTTCATCATGGTTCTCACAGAATATGTCCAACAGTTTGGCCTTGTGAATCGGACATCTCTCTGTCGGATAAATCGGTAAAGATGTCAGCGTCCGTTTCGTGCGAAATTCAGATTTGTCCAACAATTTGTGTCCCCTCATTGCAGGAAACGCTTTGTGCATGTCTGTACAAGGTATACAGTAATAATCCTGACATTCTACACAATATTTTTCCGCTTCTCGTGTTATATTTTTCCCAGCACAAACACTACATTTAATTTCTATCAACTCATCTGATGCATTTTCACTTCCTTTAGTCGCCATTATGACATTAACATTAGTTAAAGTTGTCTTCTCGTGTTAACAGGCTTTTAAACAAATGTTTAAAACAGTTTTTTATGTTCAACATTTGCATGTATTTTTTTCACGAGTAAAACTTTAAATTTCCGTCTGTCAGATATCTCTTACTTAAATACAAAGGAGAATTTTGTAACAAAAAAACCTTCAAAATCTCTTTACATGTTGGCAATTTGCCCACGCCTTTAGTTAAAAGAGGTAAATTTAGTTTTTGTTCAAACACTTTTATGTGCCGTGGATAATAAATAACTTTTAAGGCTTACTGGATTTGAAAAATCAATAATAGATCTACATGTATATACACGTAGTCGGGTTTTTATCGTTTCCAACTTTGTCCTTGTTTTCGGGTATGGAATAAGTTGAGTAAGTTTATATTCATTATATCTATACAAGTCAACTTAAATTATGTAAATAATAAGATACACACGTAAAATTACACTATTAATATACTATAGAAACCGAAAGTACAAACTATATGGCAGTCTCCTGGATTAGACCCATCTGTATATATAAGGAGTAAAACTTGTATATAATAAACTGAAGAAATCTAAATCCTTTAATTATGTATATTTGAACCCAGGAACCTACACGTAGGCTAAAACTGGCTCACAATAGGCAATGTCAAATTCATTATGGTTGTTAGACATTTTCTAAATCATATTGTTAACAAATTTGACTTATTTCTCCATTGGATTTAAATTAAATACATCCGTTACTTATTATACAAAGATTACACCCGTATTGTACTCCGATCATAGCAACAATTATTATTTTATTAACATAAGATGAACAACATTTCTTGTTTGCAAATTTTTGATCATTATATTATATTTTGAGTTTAAGTCTAAAGCAGAACTCAATCATTGGTTCCGCGAAAATGGAAAATGAAAATAGATAAAAAAAATTATAGTAAGGCTTCACTTCAGTGTTGTATTTTTCTGGTTCTTCGGGATCATTGATGCACTAAGTGTTGAGAATTGAGTACCGCTCAAGCCGATGTTAGGGGGCGTGAGGAATGTTGTACTTATTCATAACCTCATGTACAGACTCAATCACACCGAGTCTGCAATTTTCATGTAATTTTGTTGTCATTAATGCTTCCGAGGGATCACTTGATTTCCAGATTTTTATTCTTCACAACAGCAGGTGTCAAGTGCTGTGTGGCAGCTGTAAGATGTTGCCCCGTACTTCACTTCAGTGTTGTTACATTTTGGGATCATTGATGCCAGCACTATGAAGTGTTGAAAACTGAGTACCACTCAAGCCGGAGCTAGGGGCGTGAGGGATGTTGCACTTATTCATTATCCCTCATGTACAGACTCAATCAAACCGAGTCTGCACTTTTCATGTAATTTTGTTGTGATAAATGCTTCCGAGAGATCACTTGATTTCCAGATTTTTTTTCAATTTTCGATTGCTTATTAAGCACCTGTCACAAGCATCTGTAACGCTGTATCAAGCGGGAATGACTTGCTTTTAACCCTTAACCTCATGTATACGCGAAACAATGCACTTTCGACCCCCATCCCCCGATTTGAAACCTCAAATAGTGACAAAATATTCCAGCTATTTAGGCCACAAATACTTGTTTTCGTTTGAGAAATGTTATTAAAAAAAAGATAACTTTTTTCGGCGCCGCCCTCTATAGGGGATGCCAGAGGGGGATCAGTTGCATTTCTTACAGTTTTTACCCGCTATTAAAGTTAGACTACTAGTATTCCTTCTGTTCGATGTCATAGTCTTCTTTATTACATACCTATAAATATTCTCCTTAAAATACATGCAAATCATACATAACACAATTCAAAGGATAGAAAAAATGTATAATGCAAGAGACAAATATGGCACCATATGTGGATTTCTGACACTTTTTTTTGGTGGTTCCCATTTTGGCAGAATGATGAGTAGAATTTGGAAATGGGAACCAATACCACCTTCTGTCTCACAAAATATTATTTTTCTCAAGCTGCTCGGAGCAAAATACGCTACTACAACATAATATTCCATAATATTAGTTATGTATTAATAATCACCAGACATTGGAGATATTATTTTTTTTATTATTGTTGCGAGTGAAGACGTTTGTACTGAAGAGTTCATTTATTTACAAAATGCACATAGTGAAAGTATGATGTCTCGGCAACCGTATGCGCTTATTCATTTCTTCGAATTTGATGTACAGTAAAAATATATTGGTCCATTTACTTAGTTTAAGCCACTAAATTAGTTTTGCAAAATTCCTTTGTTATTTGCACATTCCTGTGTTATTGGATATAAACGGGGTATTTAGTGTGTATCAATGGACTAAAAGGTTGTTACAATATATAATATTGTGCGAGAAGGAAAACTAATATTTATCATTCCTTAACCAATTATAACTGTTCCGGATATTTTATTTTATTTCGAACCTCACGTTTGCATTACATTTGTTGTAAAGATAGTTCACTTCTACATAATTAAAGCTTACGCTTGAATTATGCCACTTGTCATTATGCAATAGAATAAATTCAAAATTTAGAAATACTCGAGTGTGTATAAAGATATGCTTTTATAAAAGATATGCCAATGTTGATGACTTTAAGGAATAAACTATTGGTTTAATGATTAAACTATGTTTAAAGTCTGACAGCTACATGAATAATAATACTTTTGCCAGTTTAATGCAGTAACAGGTTAACTCACATTGAGAATTAAATTCGAGTTAACCCGTTATTGTGACAATGTACTCTTTGCTGCTTGATATTAGTAATTTGATACCTTTCTGTATCATTGGACTGTTCCAAATTTGAAGCATGACTAGTCCATTATTCAAATCAGGTTAAATAAGGATGATATTATTGTATAGAGATATTCTATTTCAGGATAAGACACTGTATGCTTGTGGTCTAGATGACATTAAGGAATCAAAGGTGGTAACTCATGTTACTGATAAATGTCAGAATACATCAGTATTATTTCAAATTGAAAATTGATTATTTATACTCTAATCAAGAGATGTTGAGTTTAGAAGTTTGAATTTTATATAAAAAAACTTATTTAATTTTATCTCAACTTAAATTTATATAATAATGTCAATAATTCTTAAAGGCACAGACACAAATTAAATTTGACTTCTTTATAAATGGTAAACATGAATCAATAACCTTTAAATAACAGTTTTAGGGCATGTTGCTAAATGTGAAATAATTTGTCATAAAAGTAGCAAAATGTTACAACGAAGTAGTATTTTGACTTACATACAAAATACTATATCACTATAACTGTACTAATAGCCAAATAATAGAAGAAAAAGTTGGTTAAGGTAATCGGGCAATGAGTAACATTTTAGAAACTATGTAAGAACAAATGTATACCAAAAAGATAAAGCTTTTGAGAAATATAAGTAAATGCATTTCCTGAAGCATAATTTGCCTTTAATAATGTCAATCACCTTGGAAGTATTGCTTGGTTATGTAAAGATTTTTTAATTTTTTCACCTCTACATGTATATAACAGAAATTTACTCTTGGGAGGAGGGGGCGTCCGTGGCCGACTGGTTATGGTCGTTGACTTCAAACCATTTGCCCCTCACCGCTGTGGGTTCGAATCCCGACATGGAATTTGGATTCTTTCATGTGAGGAAGCTATCCAGCTAGCTTATGAAACGTCGGTAGTTTTCTACTCAGGTCCCCGTTCGTGCCTGAAATAATGCATGCACGGAAGAGCACATGGGGTCTTCCGCCACTAGTAAAGCTGAAACGTCGCCATATGACCTATACTGTGTCGGTGCGACGTAAACCCAATCAAACAAACAAACTCTTGGGAGAAAGTTTGTCATTGCTACATCTCTTATTTACATGAAGGTTTTTGTACCATCCCACTGTTTCACTGGACACTTCTATATTTCTTTAAAACATGTAATATACATGTATCTATGATGAACACACTAACTTTTTGACCGAGTGGTTAAAGTGGCTGTTTTTTGAAGCACTGACACTTCACTGCTGTGGATCTGAATCTCTCTAGAGACTTTGGTATCTTTCATATGAGGAAGCCATCGATATAGCCTATGAAATTTTGGTTATTCTACTGGTGCTGTATTATGCCTGAAATAATGCACAGAGGTGCACCTGAGGTTTCCCCGCACCAGAAAAAAACTGGAAAGTCGCCATATGACTGCATGTACAATCAAACCTGTGAACAAAGGTCAGCAAAGGAATAGGATAAAACTGGCCTTTATTCACAGTGACCTTTTAATCGGGGGGGGGGGGGGAGGGGGAGCGAGGATAAGGACTGGCCATAGACATGAGTGGAAGGCAAAGATCACATTCATTTTTGTCTTGAATGTTTATGTGATTAAGTGCATAATATAAAAAATAAAACATGAATAGTATTTCATTTAATATTTCATCATCAATACCATCATCATCATATATAAAATCAACATTATCATAATCATTTTTATCAAAATTATCACCATCATTTACTTTTCAAATAATGAAATCACTCCAATATGTAAAGCTGTGTTAAAACTGTGAAGAAGAACAACATATGAGAAATTAAGATGAGATACATGCATTATCACCATTCAGCCAGTCATTAATAAATTTCTTTATCAACATGATAAATGATCAGAATCACCGATATACCCGATATCATATTATCACTAAGATTCCTTAATTTACAATATCATTGTAAGTTTTATATTTCAGTACTTCATTTTTTCTGTTTTAACTGTCTCTCTTTGTTTAGAAAGAAGTCATTTATTTTTTTGTTTGTTATCACTTAAAAGCTTAATGTTGTTTATGATGTCATCAGCATCTACAAATGCTCCAAGCAACTTTTCATTTCCTTTGAATTTAGCGTAGCTTTTCAGTTTCCCAATCATTTCTAAACATCCTTATGACTTACAAACACTATTTTCCTGTACTAGTTTATCGTCATCAGAAATTTTATCACTGATATGCTCCCTTATCTTTTATTCACTAGCATGTTTGTAGGCCATTTGTTCCGAATCATTCACACAGAATCTTTGTCAATGTCTAAAAGTACTTTGAAAGAAGAACAATCAAACAATTGCCTAGCAACAACTTGAAGAGCAATTGGTAAATTGTCATCCTCATCACTTTCATCATAAATGAGTGCAGCAAATTAGATCCACAACTAGCGAAACAATTCTACCTCATGTTTATGTTTGACATAAAAATCCCGCAAAACATTCTAGGCAAAGGTAATTTAACTCAGTCATGGATTTTGAAAAAGTATCCCCACCTTAACTACCAACTTTACGGAGCCCCTAAGGTGACATTTTCGACATTTTTCCCGGCATTTAATTCGTTTTTACGAAATATTAATTCGTAATTACGAAATATTAATTCGTTTTTACGAAATAATAATTCGTTTTTACGAAACATTAATTCGTTTTTACGAAATAATTATACGTTTTTACGAAATAATAATTCGTAATTACGAAATATTAATTCGTTTTTACGAAATCTTTTTTAGGTCATTGTGAGCTTGACAAAAAACCTACTAATCTCACAAAGGGGTCATAAGCCGAATGGTTCTCATATTATTATATTTAAGTGAACAGGTTTTTTGTGTAAGAAGTCATGCTCAATCCAAAATATCCTCTTTTTCCCCATTTTCAATTACTTGTACATCATCAGCAATGTTTTATTTTTTGAGGTAATTAATATTTTACTGACATGTTTCTTTAAAACAGAAACATGCTATATTATTACTTTCTTTTATCATATACATTAGTAAAACTAAAAGGGGGGTCTCCAGATATTCACTAATCTTGTTAATTTAAAAAAAGTATATTTCCTTACAATTTTTAATGGGCACCGTGCGATCATCAAAACATAAAATTAGATTTCAAACATCAATAATATCGGCAAAACGAAACATACAAAAATGTCCGTGTTTGGATTTGAAGCACAGGACTTCATTTAAACAAAATTTTCCTAGCGCGTTTACTATCACGGATGTCGGGGCAACGTTATTGGCAGATGATTATTTTAATTTATATACAATAGTGTTAAGTTATAAAACTCGGGGAGAAAAAAGATCACTATCTATATTGCATTTACATGCCTTATATTTAGTCAGGAACTGAGTTTCAAGGAATTACGAAATTACATTTCGGTTTTACGAATTAATATTTCGTAAAAACGAATTAATATTTCGTAATTACGAATGATATATTTCGTAATTACGAATTACTATTTCCTAAACACGAATTAAGTTCCGGGAAGAAAGTGTGAAAAAATGTCGCCTTATGGGGCTCCGTATAACTTTAATATACATATCTACAATGAAATGTCAAACACTGCGAATAATTAACCATGCTGTTGTGCTGACAGTAGTGAACGTTTGAAAATGCGTGAAGAACTTCTATTTATCTACTTATTTATCTACATGGTTATGATTTAGTCTGCTGCTATTTGTACTATATTTTCAGAGATTGTAAATGAAGAACATTGTATTTTTACAAAAAAAAAGATTGTTAATGTAGACTAATGTATTTTTACAAAGTATTTTTATGTACAATAAAGTGTCAGTCATTTTGAGGAAATGTACAATGTATATTTTATGCATCATTTACTCAGTGTGTATATTAACAGGCACTTATTGTACAATTACATGGAATGTCTGCTGCCAAAGCTCGAGCAATTATAGACAAATATCCAACTCCTTCACAGTAAGTTGTCTGTCATTGGTTTCACTCTAATTTTGCATTGTCTCAAGTAATTTACAAAAGCAGAATAATAGGGTGAAAAGTACATTTTGCAATTAGACAAAATATAGTAATACTTTAAGTTTCTAAAAATTAACTGGATGCATGTTTCATAGGTTAGTTTCATTTAGAGTAAAATAAAGTTTGTTACCCAAAATCTGACTTTTGCACATAAGCATTGAACTACAAATAACAATGACAGTTTATAAAAAGCAGAAAATGTTTTCAGGAAAGGCTAAAAATAGCGTCTGTCTACAATGCAAATAGCGTTATGACTTTATCTATTTGAGATTTGGCAAAACAAACATGAAAAGTGTGATTTGTGCTTGAGTTCTAATTAAATGCCTGGGATGAAAATAATGTTTTATGTTTATTTAATGCACATTATTTTAAACATGTCAGTTAAGTTCTGTTTTATCCCTAGCAGTCATATTCGCTATGAATACTAGTATATTGAAATACTAATGGTATTTGTTTCAGATTATTTCAAGGGTATGAGGATTGTTCATGTGAGAAAGGTGGCCAGGCACAGAGTAAACAACTGTATCATTTATACAACACTTGTATACCTTTATCTATACAAACTAAAGGTCAGGGTATCGCATTGTAACATGGCCAGCGTTTGGCTGAAAAAAGTGCAGGGAAACCGTATGATTCAATTTATACATGAGTTGATTGGATGAAAATGAGGTATTTTTAAGTATAAAAAACTAATTTAGAATGTAACACTACATTGTTTTCTGAAGAAAATGAAAATGATAATATCTCTATGATAATTTTGACTTGGATATTTGCATTTATAAAAAGTGTATGTCAGTCCTGTGATCAGCAGAAAATGTCAATGAAATGGGGGGTAATCCTCTTTGAAGTCATTTTGCAAAAAAATTGGTTGGCTACCCCTATATAACATGAACATTTTTATGTGTCAGGCATTTCATTCTGCTAGAAAAATCACCAATTTAGCATGAAAACTCAATTTTAAGACCATTTCTTATAATGTAAGTCTATGGCAATATTGATGTGAGTGTCTGACCTAAATACTTGATTAGAGAAGAGTATTCAAGAAAGATAACCTAAACAGCGCTTGAGTGTAAATACGGACAGATATAACTTTATATTGCAAGTCACTTAAACAAATATTTCACTGCTACTGTATGAGATTGTTTTAATCATTTTTTATAACATTTATAATATTGGTCATAAATTTTCAAAACTTAACATTTAAGAAATAATATCGGCCTGAGCGATGTTTATCAGCTATTTAACACCGGTTTAAACTTTTGATACGTAGGAATTGACCACGAAGACCGTAGGCCTGAGTGGTTAATTTTTTGTCGCATCAAAACGATAATGATCAAAACATTAAATCTAGTCAATATCACAAACATACACACATTGTCTTTTTATGGTATTAAGAAACCTTTTGATACCTGCCAATGTCAATAACATGTTCTGTATATAATAATAAAAATGTCATATTTAAATGTAGGCGATAACAAATTAGCTACTGTAAGCGTCATTCAAGTTTGTAGACTTTAACTGAATTTTCTTGCTCAGGAGTAACAAATATAATGTTTTTATTTGCATCAAAACAAACAGAATGTGCATTTGTATCTGTTATGATAACACCTATTTTTGTCATCAAATCCTCTCTAATCTGTATAATATTTGATGAAGTCGATGCACCTACAAATATATTCCCTCTGCCATCTGTACAAACGCCTTGTGGACCACTCATATCAGCATCAGTAAATGTGGATATGTGATTTCCCTGCATATCTAGGGTTACTAAACCATTTTTATAATCACACACATATACACATTCTCGGTTTGTGCTTAAGGATATATGTCGATTACTGCTGAAAAGTGACTTCCCTGAACCGTCTGTAGTAATTTTACGTATCATACAACCGTTCATATCGTATATGTAAACTGCATTCTTTTCATCAGATACGAACAATTTGTCTTTATTGTAAGCAATGCCGCTACAGTGGTGATCCATATCTAGCTTTCTGGTAACTACCATCTTGGTATCAAGTGAAACAAATGCAATACTTTTATTTTGAAGATTAACTGCAACTTCTTGTTTACCAGTTTGACATACAGCTATAGGTCCAGTCTCCATGTCAAGGTGATCTGTGATGGTATAGTTGGTAGTATTAATACGCTTCAGTTTCTTATTATTAATATCTGTGACAAGCAGAGAACCATCCTCAAGAAGGCATGAATGATATAGCCAACATGACGTATCTGACTTCATCTTTGCGCTTAAACTGCTGTGTTGTTTCACAGTATAAGCTGTTGTCCTTGACACATGCCCTAATACACAAGCTTGTTTCAAAAACTGTTTAATTTTTGCGTTCATGGTTAATGCTATTTGAGCAACAACCGATTTATCCAGCATTTTTTTAGATTCACTGGCCGTGCGAATAATTCTCTGAGCAGTTTTTATGTTCACAAATTCTTGAGCTTTATTTCCTTGAGACCTTTGTATCTTGTCAGCTGATTGTTCAAATTCATCAATACATTTATCTGATTCTTTGATGGCATTCTGTAAATCTTGTTCAATACTTCCATATTCTTCTTCAACTAACTTGACTGATTTTCGCTCAAGTCTGTTCAGTTCATTCTCAAGTTCTTTCTTATAGTCTAATATTGAATCAATAGCGATTTTCTTTTGTTTCTTTATCTCAGTTATTAGATGCTGTTTCCTTTGTTTGATATCTGCAAATTGCTGCTTTTCTTCATTAAGTCCTGATATAATTTTACTTGAAAGTGGATGCTTGTACAGAGTATCAACTTCTTCAGGAATCGAATGTATAGCCTGACATGATCTAAAAACAAGAAATAAAGGTACATGTAACAGTTACAGAACCGGGATATTGTACTTAATTGTATTTCATTTATTGTTTTGATTCATTATATCAATAAGGTGTTTCATTAAGGCCAGTTTTTCTCTGAACGAAAAGCGCGAAAGATGACAGTACAATGGTGACATTGCGACAGTACGATGGTGACAGTACAATAGTACGATGGCGATACAACAGCACGATGGTGACGGTCCATCGTACTTTCGTATTGTTACCATCGTACTGCCACCCTCGTACTGTCACTGTCGTACTGTTACCATCGTTCTGTCGCACTGTCACCATAGTACTGTCATCGTACTGTCGCGTTCCTGTTAGGCATGCGCATAATTAAATATAAACATGGAGGAAAACGTTGACTGTGTCAAAAAGTCTCAAGCGTAAAGTTATTTTGGTGGGTTTTTTTTTTCAAAAAAACAAAAAACGCCGATATTCGTTCTAAGATTCGCAAAGCTTCTTTTAGCTTAAAAACAACCGATACACACTAACCTAAAGCCAAAACAATTCAATTGATATTCAAACTGCTTTATGCATAAAGTATTTGACTTTAAATATTACTATGACGGCAATACAGATTCTAAGTAAAGATTGTGATGGTAACAGTACGACAGTACGATGGTGACAATACTACAGTACGATGGTGTCATTACGATAGTACGATGGTAACAGTACGACAGTACGTTTGACAATACTACAGTCACCGTACTGTCGTTTTTCGCCATCGTATTGTCGTTTTGTCAAAATCGTACTGTCATGCTTCGCGCTTGTCGTTCTTAGAGAAAACGCGTTGGCCCTTACGGAACACCGTATATTTATGTTAATCAAATGTCGTAGTAAGGAAAACAAAGGAATAATATTTTCATTCACTAATGATGACTCTGGTATTTATCAATATAAGTGCCTTGAAGGTCCATTTGGCCGGTTATAAATGCAGTAACTCTTAACTCACATGCATCATATCATTCATTGTACAGATGTCACTATAGTAAATGAACTTGTTATCTTATCTTATATGAGCGTCATATTTTCAATTATCTACACTTAATTATGTCCTGTATATTTACCTAATAACCTGATAGTATCTTCTTATTACGCGATTGTGTCTCCTAATTAGGCTATAGATTAAAAGATCTTGAAAAAAGTAGTAAAAAGTCATACTGTGGAATAGGAAAATATCCTTAGATAATTGAAAATTGAACGTGCACATGTCTGAGAAATAATTCAAATCAATATCGTTCTTACTTTCTTTCATTTTAGGTCAGTTAATGAGCATTAATAGGGTATTAAATTGGCGTTAGCACACCTTTTGTTTTACGTTTATATGCCGTTTGGTTTGCGTTATCATGTGTTTTGGTTCGCGTTATAACGCCTTTTGATTTGCATTATATCGCCGTTTGTTTGAATTATAACACATATTGATTCGTGTTATTACGCCTTTTTATTAACGTTATTACACCTTTTGGTTGGCGTTACAACGCTTTTTGAGTCACGTTATTATGCCTTTTGGTTGGCCTTACAACGCTTTTTGAATCACGTGTTTACGCCTTTTGGTTGGCGTTACAATACTTTTTGAATCACGTTATTACGCCTTTTGGTTGGCGTTACAACACTTTTTGAATCACGTTATTACGCCTTTTGGTTGGCGTTACAACACATTATGAATCAGAATCACGTTATTACGCCATTTTGGTTCGCGACGGCGTTATTTAGTAGATGATACTTGGTTGCTGTTCGCCATTATGAAATAATGGCCGAATATGTACGCCATTCGATTTGTGTTACTACACCTTTTTTTTGGGTCCAATATTATATTTAACTGTGTTTGATGCTATTAGGCTTTCGTGGTACATGTATCTTATATTAAACTAAATGGAAAAACAATCGTTAAGATTAATCAATCTTGACTTAAGTGCCCGTTATAATATATATATGATACGGAAATCTGTCCTACTGTTTCAGGCGCCGGTAATCCAGTTACCTCTCTGGCGTGGGTTCGATCCGGAGGAAGGTAGTCTAGTACTGGTCTAGTACTGGTGTAACTCTCCAGGAACGATGGTTAGGAAACTACCCGCCTATATGACTGAAATACTGTTTGGAAAAGGCGTAAAATCAAACAAACAAACACACTTTGAAACATGAAATTTTTCTATGACCATATCTTCCAGTGAGTATTACAATATTATGCTGTCTATCTCTAAAATATATAATTTAATTTTTTACTTTAAAACAAATTTTACTGGAGTTTTTTTTCATTTTATTGACCAGTCAAGAGTAACCGATAAAACCCACAACAGGGGCGGTTCCATGATAACAGGTTAGGGGGCGAAATAATAAAATAAGTACGTACACAGTGGTAAAGCAGCACAGGGACATAATTAAAAGGAAAACATTTCCTCATTTGCTCCATTCCAAACTCTACTTGATGTTTTGTTCATGTTGTATGTAACCAAGTAATTATTTTAGTCCATACTTTAAAAAAAATCAGAAAGTTATACCTGTGATTGATTGCTACGCATGTTGCACAAAGAACTTCATCATGGTTCTCACAGAATATGTCCAACAGTTTGGCCTTATGGATCGAACATCTCTCTGTCGGATAAATCGGTAAAGATGTCAGTGTTCTTTTCGTGCGAAATTCAGATTTGTCCAACAATTTGTGTCCCCTCATTGCAGGAAATGCTTTGTGCATGTCTGTACAAGGTATACAGTAATAATCCTGACATTCTACACAATATTTTTCCGCTTCTCGGGTTTTATTTTTCCCAGCGCAGACACTACATTCAATTTCTATCAGTTCATCTGATGCATTTTCACTTCCTTTAGTCGCCATTATGACCTTCAGATTAGTTAAAGTTGTCTTTTCGTGTTAACAGGCTTTTAAATAAATGTTTATTAACATTTAAACGTTAAAATTTCTGTACGAGTAACACTAAATTCCGACAATCAGATATGCAAAGAAGAATTGCGGAACAAAAAAGAACCAAAATCAATTTATCTTCAATATCTCTTTATTTAAATGAAGTAATGTTTGTGTTTACACTTATGCACCGTTGCTAATAACCTCACTAGATAGTCAATAAAATATACACGTAGTCATGTTTTATCATTTTAAACCTTTGTGTAGGGAAAAATTTGAGCAAGTATATATATTCATTATAGCGTGTACAAGTCTACTTAAATTAAGTAAATTTAAAGATATACAACTAAAAAACTCTATTATTATACTTTAGAAAGCGAAAGTACAATCAATATGACAGCCTCCTGGATTAGACCCTTCTGTGTACATAATATATATATTATGAGTAAAACTTATATAAAAGAAACTAAAGAAAACGGAATGAACCTAAAACTCGTACATAATTATATTCCTAATTTTGACTTTCGGGATATAGCTATGTAGTATGTACGTTATTTCGTAATAGGCTTTAACTTGTTCACAATAGGCATTGTTTAAAGGCACATAATGCCTCAGTAACATTTTTTTTTACTTCTTTACAAGGAAGGACACGAGTTTCATAATATTTAAAAAATGGTTTTGAGAATGTTAAATGCTAGGTAGTGATTAAGTTAATTAACGTGAAATAATTTGTCATAAAAGTAGCAAAATATAAACAATGTAGTACATGTATTTTGACTTCCACACAAATTCCCTTTAACTGTACTTATTGGTTTAAAGCACGAATCTTAATTACTTGACAGTAGTTCACTTTTTAAACACTTAATTCTATGAATTTGTGCAACGCATTAACCTAGTTTTGAAGTTAAAACAGTTCGTTTGTTTCTTATCAGAATTAAATATCGTAATACAAAAATTGAGTTACCAGCAATATACAGTCTAGTCAACACGACCGGCAGTGTCTGGGTCTATACTGATGACAAATGCTTATACCTTTACAATTTACAATAACAGCTATACGGGTTATGTTTAAGTTCATGCACCAGCTAAATTCACTCCAGCCATAGCAATAATGATTTTTTTTAATCAATGTATGAAAAAGAATGAAATCAGTGTATATTGAACAAGGTTTATTAAATTATGTTATGCAAGTCTCATATTATGTGATAATAACAAATACATACTCATATATGTTCATTTGAAGAATTGTGAAAACATAACTGTTTATTTGTCTTATTCTCGTTCCTTGGTGTTCTATTTTATCATCATATATCTACCCTGTTATTAATAGTATACACTATAATACAATAAAATTTATATCAAATCATGAAAAGGTGATCTCCCGTTAACAAAACAATCAAAGGCAACAAGTGAAATCTCAGACATAGTTCATTTGAGTCTCTATTTATTGATGAAGACAATTCACAAGAAAGAAAGGCAATCGTTTTTGTATCAATTTTGTATTTACCAAAAGGGTGAATGCCAAAAATGTTTCAATCTGATAAACACAATACACAAGAACGAAATTGTCTACCTAATTTACAGATTGATATGAAATTGACAATGACAATTATGTTTCTTCTCTTTGTTATAAACTACAAAATATATACTAAAACGAAATTCCGTGCATATTGTCAAACAATGTTTTTTTTTAAATGATTTTTACAAATAGTGGCAAACAAAAATGATAAGCAAACGTTTTAAATCAGCCACTGCATAATATGTCAGTAGTGCATTTTGCTCATAACAATAAGAAATAATCATTACAGTTTGTATTACGAGTATTCACTGTCCATATTTAGTAATGCCGAGGACATATATTGTGCGTCCATTTTATTGCAATATGTACACGTTCATGAATGTTAGATGAAGTCAATAAACAAAATGAAATATGAATAGAGAATTAGATACATTACTTCAGATCAAAAACTTCGATTGAATCACAACCGTCGTATGTAACATACAGTCTATTCTGATTTGGGTCAAAACAAATCGAGAGATGCTCGAGTTTTGATTTTAGGATGCCCAATTTTCTTTTTGAATCTTCTCTGATCTGAATAATACACGGTGATTTAAATCCACATGCAAACATGGTTCCTTTGCCATCTGTACAAACCGCTCTCGCATCAATCAAATCAGGATCATTGAAACTAGACACATACGACCCTTGCTTTTCGAGAGTTATTAGACCTTTGTCCATATCAGCCACATACATGAAGTCTTTGTTTGTGCTCAAACACATATGCCTTGTTTTACTGAAAACTGATTCTCCTGACTTTTCAGTTAACCTCTTTTGTATATAGGTATTTTCCCTGTCAAGCATACAAATGGTACCTGATCCGTTAGTCATGAATAGTTCTCCATCATTATATGCCAGTCCACTACAATAGTGATCCATTTCAAGCGATCTCGTTGCTGTCATCTCGTTTGCCAGCGATATAAACTGAATGTTATTGTTTGAAAGACTTACTGCTGCTTCATCTTTACTTGTTTGACAAACTGCATTTGGCGCTGCTTCCAAACATAAATGATCTGTTACTTTTTCTGTAGTAACGTCTATTCGTTTTATATTTTTATTATTACAATCTGCAAGAAGCAAACAGCCATCGACGGTTAGGCAAGTACCAAATATTCGACAGGTCTTTTTATCTGTCGATATCTTGATATCAACATCTCTTTGCTCATTTACCGTATAGAGCTCTTTAACTTCCTCATCAACACATAAGTGTCCCAATGATTTGGTTTGTTGAATGTAATTCTTAAGTTTGAACTCAACATGGAAAGTCTGTACCTTTACATCTGAAAGCTCCTGTAATAATTCTTTGGAGTTTTTGGCTTTAGCAATAGCCTTCTGAGCCATTTTGATAGCCAGAAAACTTTGAACTTTGTTTTCATTTAAAAATTCAAGCTTGTCCCGAAATTGTACTAGCTCATTTATATTTCCCTCTGCCTCTTTAATGGCGTTTTGTAAATTTCTTTCAGTATTTCCGTATTCTTCATCAATTTGGCGAATTGATTCTTTTTCAAGCATGCTCAGTCACTAATTCTGCTTTGTGGTCTCTAACAGAATTAACTGCCAATTCCTTTTGTTCCATGAACTCGCTCAATACATCCATTGTAGCATTCTTTGTAGCCTCTAAATCCAGTTTATCATTCGAAAGTTGTTCAATGATTTGATCAGAAGTTGAATGTTTGAATAATGAACCAATTTTTTCATCTGATATGGAGCGCAATGCCTCGCATGATCTGAAAATGCATAAGTGTATTGGTAATTACAAGTCATTAAGCAGTTTACATCTAACCATTTCCTCCTTAATATTATATTAAAATGCTGGCATTCTTATGATTCAAGTTAAACATATGAAAGCGTTGGAATAATATAGTTTAAATGCTAACTGTATAACATTATGTTTTGCAGATGTTATGTCCTCCACAGGCGAATTTCGATTTGTTTAAGTTGTGTTGATAAGTTTGCCTTGCTTTTGTGAACTCATTTCTTTCCTCTAGGGACTTGAAGGTGATTCCTCATTGTCTGCCATGTTTGTTTTCGCTAAGCGGGTCCAAAATGAAAGTAGGCCAAATTTCATGTAACAACAGCGCTCACAATGTAAAATGAAAAACAATTTTCAAATCACTTAAATATGGCTGGTGCGTTTTAAATGTTATGTTGTGTATATAAAAGTTCCTATATAATTACATTACATTCTACACGCATATCTTTATTTTTACTATTCGTTTAAAATATCATATGTCATACATATTTACCTGTGGTTGATAGCTACACATAATATACAAACAACTTCATCATGGTCCTCACAATATAGTTCCAACTGTTGTGCTTTATGACTTGGACATCTCTCTGTTGAATCACTTGTTAAATTTTCCATGAGAGAATGATCATTACATTTATATTAATCAAGTAGCGTATGTCCTTGTAAAGCAGGGAAGAACCTGTGCATGCCAGAACATTGTATACAATAATGATCGGAACATTCCACACAAAACATCGTCGCTTCCAGTATTATACCTTTACTTTTACAAATATTGCACTTTTTGTCATCAAAATAATCTGATCCGTTGTCACTAGTTGTCATTTTACCTATCAGAAAATGTATCTTTTTTCTCTCAAGTCATACAGTTAGACAATAATTTGTAAAATGCAAAACTCTTCTTTTCTTCGTTATAGCAATTTACCTCCCTAACGCATTTAAAACTTAACCTTCAACGTAAATGTGTAGTAGTTGTTTATATTAGTGTAAAGTAACAATTGCCGGCGCGTTTTGGGTATGTCATGCCCCAAATCATTCGAATCCGTAACTGATCATTGCACACAGTATTTTATGATACGCGACAGCAATGGTAGGATACTACGTCATCGCGCACCTGCAAACTTTGTCGACTCGAAGGTAAAATATGTTTTTTTTCTAAGAAATTGTTAGAATAATTTTTATTAAAAAATAATGTAGCGCACCAAAGATCGGCCTTAGAACTTGTGTGTTTTTTTTTAAGTTATACTTTCTAAAAGTCTTGAAAACGGGATAAAGTTATATCAAACAAAATTTACCGCGTTTTCAGGCTTAAAGCATAGGTGTTCGGCGCGTTGATTGGTCACTACCCCCGCACCCCCCCCCCCCTCACCCACTCTACAGCCCTCCTACCTCTCAAAATCATGTAAAATACAGTATTTTTCATTTGAAACATGTTTTAATATTTGGTTTATGCTTTTTATTCAATAACCTTCATTTCCTACAAAAACTAAAAAATTGATACATATATATTTAGTAAAGGTATGCAACTCGCCGCTCAATTTTCAGCACTCATCTTAATATGAACTCCTTAACTTCAACATTTTTCACCAATTTTCAATATCTTGGTACCAAATGGTAGGGAATTGATTACTTTTAAAGGAAGTAAAGCTGTCATTACGATCATTTCAATTTATCAGAAGATGTGTAATCTCAAAGTCACCGCAAGTGTAACTCGACAGAGATCTGACCGCTGGGTTTTCTTCAAAATTACTCGACTAAACGGCAGTTTATTCGAAATAAATGAATGTTTCATTGTATTGCGCATATAAATATGATCAAATTATATTATTATTTGTAATAACTGTTCAATCAAAACATCTTATAAAACTATAACAAATCTTTTTTCCGATTTGCCAAATTCTCCAATCCAAAATGAAAGTACACATGTATAAACGGAAGCATTCGTATGGAGTATTTTCATTG